CAGAAAGGTCGCCAAAGAAAACCCTTTAGCGCAAAGAATTTTCCAACGCGTTCCCTTTGCAAGCGTCGGAAGTTCTACAAACAGTCAAGGTTGCAGCATCACGATTTCTTCTGAATTTTTGGTCGCACCGCGCGCAAGTCCGCTTTTTTCTTACACCACAAAAGTAAGCACGGCAAGCTAGCGTCAAGTTGCAAGAATCCAAAGTTCACAGCTTGTGTGTAAAACATGAGTACCAAGGCTTGAAATTTTGATAGGCAAACGCACTTACAGGAAAAATTGCAAAAGGAAAGAACTCAAGGACTAAGCTATATATATGTTTCGAAACTTCAGGAACAATTGTCAAAACGTAATTTTGTATAATGTGTTTCGGGCTAAAGCGAAACCATCCTTGCGTTTTTACTCGCGTCGTCGTCGCGTCGTCGCGTTGTGGCGTCGTCGCGTCGTCGAAACGTCGCATCGACGCTAGCGAATCAACCTTGCCAAACAAAATGCCTCGCAAAGCGTTTTTGAAAATACACGGAACTCACGGAACCCAAATGTTAGAAGCCAACAAAATATCCAATCCAAGCAGGAAGGAAATCATGAATGCTGATCTGGCCTTCAATGTCAAAGCCACATGCACCTTGCCAAACGAAATATTTTGCAAATTGTTGATTGAAAGCACAGGCAAGCCACATGTCAGAGGCCAATCCAAGTTCGCGCATACCCTAAGGGCCCCTAAGGTCATGGCTCACGCGCCATCACCCGCAGCCCATCAAGCAGTGATACAGCGACTACACAAACCAGAAAGGATTCCGTGTTTGCAGGTTTTGTTTTTTCTGTTTGAAGAAATGTGGCAAGCAAAACGTTTCATCGCAGCATCCTCCCGTTCAATGATTGCACAAGCACAGCCAAGATGATTTGACAAACATGCTTAAGCATGTCAAAAATTCCACATATATCAACTTTGGTCGCGAAGCTTTCAGGAGCCTTTTTCAGAATTCCTCGGTTCCAGGTTTCAGGGTTCCAGGGTTTCAGGGTTCCAAGGTTCCAGGGTTCCAGGGTTCCAGGGGATTCCAGGGTTCCAGGGTTCCAGGGTTCCAGGCGGTTCCGGATTTTGGGCTCCGCAGTCGGAGGCGGCACCCCTCCCAGACCTAGAGATTGAAACCCAACAGTCATACTGCTGTTGGGAATTAAACAAGAAGGTATTAGGGAAACTCAAAGATGAAATGAACGGTACAATAATTACTCACTTTTGAGGATTGAAACCAAAGGCATATTGTTATAAAGTGTACGGTGATGAGAAAGAACACAAGAAAAGTAAAGGAGTAGTCAAGCGTAAAGTCAGCAATCAGCTAAGTTACAAAACCTATGACGAGACATTGAATAGAAACTGTAAATAAGAAGTCAATTTCAACACTATCAGAAGTAAGAACCATCAAATCTATAGCATTAATCAGACTAAGTATGCAGTAGCAACTACGACAATGAACGCTACTGGTATTCAGATTTTGAGAGTCTCCCGTTTGGACATTATGCCATACAATATCTACACAACGAAAAGATGATTTAGGATATACGCATATATATAAATGGATACGAACACATTTGAAATGGGACACATTGAAAAAATAGTTGCCGTTGATAGAAATAATTGCTGCACCGGTTCAACAACACTGAAAAACTAAGTCAAAGAATGGCAAAACATAGAAGATATTATAAATCTTATCTAAGTAACAGAAATCCCCCAAAACTCTGTCCTAGCTCTATGAAATTGCTTGATGACTTGATGAGTTCGGTGTTGAAAACCGTAAAATAGTTCTTTTCGAAGAATACCCCTGCCAAAACAGAAAGCAACTCGAAAAGAAAGAAGGTGAATATATTGGAAATGATAAGAGCCGTCTTAACAGATGTATTGTTGGTCGGGCTTGAATGGAATATTACGATGCCACAGGAGGGCATCACCTCGAACAAAAAAATATAAGAAGACAAACAGCATCACGATAACAATAAAGAGAAGATTCAGGAAAAAAGAAACGCTGCAAAATTGAGGACACATGTCGTAACAAAAATTAAAGGTATAGAGAAGGGAGCAGGGAAGCAATAAGACAACAACAAAGGAAAGATAAAAAAGAAAAGAAGGCGAAAACAGAAGGACAAAAAACAATTACTAATCAACCAAAAGCAGTTCATGCCTATTATACATTTTACTCATTCCATCCAATTTATAGTATCTATTATATATTCATCATTATGTCACGACAAACTAGTATTACGTTATACTTTCTTTGACTCCATTGACTTCTAGTTTCTTTCCTTGATACATAGTGGCCCTTTCCTTTATCAAATATCTTAACGTAATCTCCTTCACTTATGTTTGGATATTTTTTGTTGTGCTTTTCTTTCAGTATCAGATTTGTTCTGACCAAAATTACGTTATCAAGATTGCGCGCATTATTAGGTGCTGTTTTGGTACTACTGTGGATTTGGTTGTTGTATCTATTCAACGAGGGCTCTAGCACTTCCACCCATGTTTTGGCTTTGTAATGCCTCAATCTGTCCCCAATCATTTCTTCGACGGCGCGTATCATCCTTTCTGCCTGATTTGCATGCGTCTTTGTTACTACGTGCGCTATCCCTTCCTCCTTTAAAAATGTTTGCAGCTTCTTGCTGTTCAACGCTCCTTCGTCGTCGCTGTAAATCGACAAAGGCTGACCTAATACCTTGAAACACTCCATGACTGCTTTATAAACGTCATCACCATCTTTATTCTCGATAGGGACTATGTGACAATTTTTGCAGAAGATATCTATGCAATCTAAACATATCTAAACCATATCTTAGTTGACTTTTGATTTCAGAACCTACGTCTCGCAGCAAACTGGCAACATCCATCAAGTCGATTTGGAGTTCATACTTCGGGAACGGTGCAGTGTAAGAATTGTAGTTTTTGTAGTTTCTTGTTTGCTTGTTGGGTTGCGCCCTCATCCATGTAGACACCATATCCAAAGTTATGCCTACATCGACGTTCCTAGCCTTTTCGTATAAGTCCCTCACCAAACCGAAGCCGTCCTCCACGTCGTAGTATATTCTTTCCAATACCTTTTATTTTACCAATCTTGTCATGAAAAATACTTAGATTATAATTTTATGATCTTTTCTTGCGTCATAAAATCATAGTGAACTCAAACGAAGAACCTCTGGCACTTTTTGGTTTTCTTGTGTTTTGCCAAGTTTGTTTGACTTGCAGCTCATGGCACAGCCGCATATATCGCATACACACGGTTGTCTCGTTTTCTCTTGGTAATATCTTTGGAAATACGTTTCGTCTTCGGTTTTCTGTTGTAATATCCGTCGTCCTGCTTTCTCCATTGGGGTTTTGTCGGCTTTTGGACTGATGAATCTGCTTTATAGTTTTCTTCAGGCGAAGAAGACGTTTCGCTGTCATTGAGTTCTTTGTTTCCAAAACCGTTCCAAATAAAGTCAAAGGTTTCGTTCGTCATTGGGATCTCAACTCCACTACTTACAAAGTAACAAGGCATACTGCAAATAGAGTTAATCATATATCATATCTTAATATATGTTTAAGTATTTTTCACCCATCAGAAACATTGGATTTGTCCTGATGTCATCTCTGCGTGCCTTCTCGCGCAAGACTTTAACTAATGGAGCAAAACCCTATTTTCAACATCAAAGTTTATAGGTGTGGGCAGTTTATCCGTCCAACTTGCTACCGGTTGACCGCTTTTGGAGAGACCCAGTTTTTAAATCCTAAATCCCAACCCAAACATGCTTAGCGTTCAAAACAGTGAGACTTGGGCTTTGTCCCAAGCCGACCCAAAAACCAAACCATTTTTTCACCGAACCGAACCAGTTTGTCTCAAAAAACGGAGACCGTGTTTCCCAAACACGAAAACGTTTTTCTTTTAAACGAACCCAATTAATTCTCCCAAAAAAATCAAGCCAGTCTTTCCCTAAAACCGAGCCAGTTTTTCCCAAAGTCGGTAGCTGATTTCCCCAGAATCGGTGGCTGATTTCCCCCAAAGTCGGTGACAGATTTGTCCAGAGCCGGTGACGGATTTCCCCAAACTCAGGGACAGATTTCCTCAAAATCGGTGACAGATTTCCCTAAAATCGAACGCCAGTCTTTCCCTAAAACCGAGCCAGTTTTTCCCAAAGTCGGTAGCTGATTTCCCCAGAATCGGTGGCTGATTTCCCCCAAAGTCGGTGACAGATTTCCCCAAAGCCGGTGACGGATGTCCCCAAACTCAGGGACAGATTTCCTCAAAATCGGTGATAGATTTCCCTAAAATCGAGCCAGTCTTTCCCTAAAACCGAGCCAGTTTTTCCCAAAGTCGGTAGCTGTAGCTGATTTCCCAGAATCGGTGGCTGATTTCCCCAAAGTCGGTGACAGATTTCCTCAAAATCGGTGACATATTTCCCTAAAATCGGTGACGGATTTCCCCAAAGTCAATGGCAGATTTCCCCAAAATCGGTGGCTGATTTTCCCAAAAGCGGAGCCAGATTTTCCCAAAGTCGGTGACGAATTTCCCCAAAGTCGGTGGCGGACTTCCCCGAAGTCGGTGGCGGATTTCCCCGAAGTCGGTGACAGATTTCCTCAAAATCGGTGACAGATTTCCCTAAAATCGATGACGGATTTCCCCAAGCTCCAGGACAGATTTCCCCAAAATCAGTGACAAGTTTCCTCAAAATTGGTGTCAGATTTCCCCAAAATCGGTGACTGATTTCCCTAAAGTCGGTGACGGATTGCATTTCCCCAAAATCCGTGGCTGATTTTCCTCAAAAAACGAACCAATTTATTGCCAAAAACCGGAGCCAGTGTTTGTAAGAACACCTGAAAGAAGAACTGTATTCCAAAAACTTTCTCCAGATTTTCCTTCGATTTTCCATCTAAAACTATTTTCCCTCTTGTCATTTCACACTGGCAAAAAGTCAAAACGACAACGGCGCTTGCGTGCACAAAGCCATCCGTCAAACCAACCACCACTTCCATTAGTTTTTGCCACTCCATTTTCCGTGTTTATTGTCACGTTTGGGTGAAACTCCGCGCTGAACAACTCTGTGGCTTCTGTACCAGCAGCTCACCGATCGTTCGTGGCAAGTTGCCTCTTCAACTCATCTTTTCCCAGTTTAATACGCCGCCTTTGTATCTTTATATCAAAGTGCAAAGTTTGCAACAACAAAAAAGATTACGCCTCTTACAATGGAGAAGACGCACATGCACGGAGCAAAAGAAAGTCGCAATTTGACACATGGAATGAAACCGTCCAATGCTCACAGTCGGGTCAGAGAGAGCCTCACAAAGCAAAAATGTTTCAAGAAGCAGCATTTAGAAATAGAAACTGTGCCACACTGCGCACACGTTGATCACAAACAAGCCAGCCTCTATGGAATGAGGTAACCATAGCAGTCCAACCTGGAATGATTGGTTGACCACGCACTTCAACAAGGCGTTTGTAACAAGTATATTCAGAGTATTAACATGTATTTACTGAGGGGAGGACTTGGAGACACCGCGTTTAATTGAAGCCTCTTCGTCTTCTTTGCTCCAGTTGCCATCCTGCGGAGAAGGCATTCAAACCAAAAAGAGCTGACTAAACACGAACTGGTAGGTCATTGAAGCTACTGCAACTAGCAAAACGAGTTGCTGGCACCACGGCTCCTCCTGTTGGCTAAATATTTTTATCTTGGAAGGTGCAATGGATAGTTCTTCTTCCTTCTTGATCGCCTGAGAGCTGAACGACAATACCACCCATACACTTTTGCTTTCAATAAAACATGTTCTGGCTTTTATCAGGGTCTGCTTTGTCTTCTACTCAACATCAACTAAGGCACTATTCCACATTAACGCAAACGATGAACTCACAGCACGTGTTGCAAAGATGGTCGCTCTGCTTAATCTTTGTCATTGCCCATCTCAAAGCTGTTCCAAAACAAAATGAAAGAAATTCCATTTGAGGTCTGCACCTTCTTCAGATCATCTATGTCACCAACCGCTCCAGTGATTTGGAAGGCATTGCCGATGAACTCGGAGCCGCCATTGTTGTCCTGCAAGGTCAACAGCCGAGACATTCAAACTCAACCCTTTCCAACCGTGTGCTACTCGCATTTACTTACCAAAGGGCACAGCAAAGGAACAAGAGCATGGCAGAAAATCATACAAAGTCTTTAGTCTAAATCATCTTTATCAAATTGAGGAAGATTATTAGAATACATATTTCATAAATCCTGAGGAATGAGCGACCCTGCAATCTTCTCCCTAAAAGTCCTGAACCCTGCCAAGTTCGTAGCAGAACAGTGTATTATCTTGCACAGTGGACTTACCCTTCATCACGCTTTTAGTTTGGGGGAAAAGAGCATGAACCTGAACGAACGGCTATTATAATCTTCAACCGAACTGTCCGAAAGTCATCAGTGCACTGCTTTGGTCAGAGCAACGACTTTGCTGAAACAAAATGTGTTTACACAGTCATTGAATGCACTTCTCTGCAGTCCTTGCGGATTTGTCTCACCCAAACAGCTGGTGGTGCAGTCCCAGCGCCACCTTGCAGGGAGGAGGTATGGATGCCTGTATTACTTTTATCCATCAACTTCGTGATTGTCAATATATATATATATATATGTATATATCAACAACCTCCATCCACCTTCCTCTTTGGAACAGCGTACGTTCTTAAAGAAACAACCCCGTCGTATGTTTACAAGACCTTGGTGCGCCCCGCCTGGGATAGGGAGAGGTGCAGTTGGTCTATCTCCAGTCATGATGCATCGTTTGGTACTTCTGGGATTTCCGAACGCTCTAGAGCCTCAGCCAGGAGAACGTTTCGTTCTTCAGCTTCTCCATCATATCCTAACTGCTTCTCCAAGAGTTCTTGTATATCGCTTATACGATTCAGGAGCTCCAGTGTCTCTTCTTTAGACCATCGGTACCACACTGCTGGCATCTGATCCCCTTTCCGCGTTGTATCACCGAGACTGAGGTCTTCAATGTCCTTCGCTGCAGCTTCACTCTCCACGATGATAATGACCTGGTGAAGGTTGTCATTCGCAGCCCGGGCGAGCACTCTCAATCTATCTCCAGATTGCTCAATCATTGCAGTACTTGAAAGAACATTGTCAAGAATGAACCTCAGTCTGATCCCCTTCCCCCTCAACATGGTGAAGAAGGGGCGGGCAATTTCCGCAGTAAATTCGATGTTGGAGAGGCAGAAGAAGGACTTCAGTTGCCTGTCCAAGTCGTTCTGCAAAACAACGATTACATCCTTCGGCTGTCTCCCTTTCAGTTCAAGTGCTGCCAGCGTTGCAGCAGTTGACTTTCCGGCACCGGGCTCTGCGTGCAGTGCGTAGACTCCAGCCATGTTTGTATTCTGAAGCGTTGCAACCATGAGTTTCTCGAAGGGTGTACCTCTGATTGGCTCAAGAGGCAAATCTGCCTTTTGCGCAGTCGGGATCAGAACATTCTTCCCTGCAGCTATGGCTTTTTCAATCGTGCCTGTCAATTTTTCAACATGTTTGTCCGCATCCTTGCCTTCAAAAGGCTCTTGCTCTCCCCAGGTCCTGGCAAATTCTTGCACTTGTCCAAGGCTTTGCACCAGCTCGGCTGCAGGTGTCAGAGTTGATTGCACAAAAAACCATGCACTTGTAGCTGCAGCTTGAAAATTTGGATCTTGCATTGCATTAAGCACTGGTGAAAGCTCGTCTGCAACACGTCTACGAGTCATGTGCCCGCTTCTAGCCCGTTGTGTTGCAAACACCGGTGTTCTTGCCCACTGCAAAGTAGCTGCCAACGCAACAGCAAGCAGTACTCTTGTGGCGTTGGGTCTCATGCCGGGCACAACTTGTTTGCCATCGGGTCCGAAACAAAAAAACTTGAGGGGACTGAATTTTGGTATCAGTGGCGCGTTGGTTGAGAATCAGGTGATACCGTAAATACCCAAATTCTCAAGGTCCAAACATGAGCAACACTTTTGACCAATTGGTTTCTTGCTTGCTAGGATTTGAGAGGTAGAAGCTGAAGGGGGAAGTGTGATCAGACTTCGAGAAAGCCTGTCAAGCGCCCAACCCATTTTCCAACAAAAACTATGACAGCCACACTTCAAGAGTTTTTCTAGTCTGAAAACAGCAGCAGCTACCATGCCAACAAACGCTACTTTGCTTTGAAAATGATTGAGGTCTGAACGATTGGAAGCAAAGAATACATATTATCACTTCTTCGAGACCACAAAGCCAAAAAGAGTGCAAACGCAAGGCGCACCTTTTTCACGCTTAAGCAAAGGGGTGTCGAGGGGCTGCACGCCTCCGCACGGTTTGGTAGGTTGACGAAAGGTCTGGGGAGACCAGCTTGGCATGCGAACGGAAGTCGGTTGGCACTTTGCGGTGAAGTGGCGGCAGCGTGACAGGGCGGCTGAGGGTGGGCCGCAAAGTGAAATCAAACAAAGACATTTAATGAACTTGCACAAATAACTGCAAACTTGAAAGCACATCAAGATTGCACATGGATGAGTGCAATGGCAAGATCTTTGTTAAATTTTGCTGAGCCAAAATTTTCTCGAATAAGGAATAAATACGCTATCACGAGTGACCGCTACATTATCACTTCTTCGAGACCACAAAGCCAAAAAGAGTGCAAACGCAAGGCGCACCTTTTTCACGCTTAAGCAAAGGGGTGTCGAGGGGCTGCACGCCTCCTCCCCCTCTTAAAGCTCAAGCAGGGCCTCGAGCACATCAAAGCTCAGGTGCGCCAAGCGTGCTCCCTCTTTCAACAGGTGCTCTACTTCAAACCTGGACGGGGCGTCGGCGATGTTTGACTCCGTGGGAACTCTGGCGTACCACGGCTGGATCATGAGCTCACACTCAAGCTTAAGAGTCGCATCTAGGACACGCCTGGCATTCAGGCTCGACGTTGAGCAAGAGATTAGGGTGTCACGAGCCCCGTTGTTGTCGGTGAAGATAACCACGGGTGACTGTCGGATTTCATTTTGCCAAATTACCAGCGCACAATAGATGGCAAGCAGCTCACATTCGAAGATTATGGTCTTACGCTCAGCAATTTGAAGTTTTTCCAACAAGCTGCTAGGCGGCGACGCAGAAAAGAATGACAGCTTGACGCCATCCTGGGAAACAAGCACTGCGCCCAAACCACAAGCGTTCCCGGCGCCTGCCGGTTCATATGAAGCATCTGCGAAGATGTAGAACGTTGGGTGGCTACCGGTCTTAAGAGTTCGGGGCCTACCGTGCTCTAGGAGCGACTTGTGCAACTGCAGCGCATGGACTAGTTCAGGACTAATCTTAGGGGTCTTGGTACTATAGGCATGTGTCGTGACCGATTGCAAGGCTCCACGGGCTATTCTACCAAAGAGTTGTCCTGAGGCAAATTGGAGCCTTCCTCGAACCCTCAAAGCTGATGCCCGACTCAGGGTTCCAGAAGTCAGGATCTCCTCTATCATTAGCAGAAGCTCACGCTTCCTGGACTCCGTGTTGTCAAACAAGACCCTGTCCCGGTGAAGGTTCGAGACATCGATGCTTATGCCAAGTGCATTAAAGAGCTCATGGAATGGAGGAGCTTTGGGGCCTTCCTCGGCATATCTCCACCCCAAAAGACGGAAAAACACATGGACTGCTTTAGTTACTGACTCAACTTCCACTCGGGGGATCAAGGTCACAAAATCATCGAAGTAATTGCACCAGGGTACCAACAACTCAGAGATGCCTAGGAACCAAAGGGAGTGCGCAACCCTAAGGAATGAATGCACGGAACGAATGCTGCCAAAAGGCAGTGCTCTCATCCTGAAAGCCCAAATCCTGCGGGATTGAGGCTCCTGCACCATGATGTGGCTAAAGTCCGACGAGTCCGGGTTGATCGCGCATTGACGGTACGCACCCTTCAAATCAAAAGTTCGGCCGACCCAAGGGCCCGTCCTGGTAGCAACTTTCATGGCCCTCAATGCCATGCAGGCGACCACGTCGAGGGTGTGAGGACGCGGGCTCTCTTCAGTCTGGACTGCTGAATTAACTGATGATCGAGCAAAATCATCAATGCACCTAATCTTCTCACCTTGCCTAATCCCAAATCTGCGACTTAAAGGGCACTCTACTGGTACCTGCTTTAGATCTAAGGGGCCGTCAAGAATTCCGGCTTTCACCTCGTCAAGCGTTTGCTTCCAAACCTCCTCCTCAAGTTCTGCGTCGTCTGACTTCGGAAATTGAGAATACAAGGAGGACCTTTCACGAGACGCGGACTCCCTCAAGTCTTTCACTGTCATGATTGCTGGCACGAACTTCTTGGGCCACAGGCCGGTGGGCGGCACTGCACCAACGAGCTGCGAACCTTGCTTCAGTTCAGAGACCACATCCATATCACGGTAGTCGTTATCCAACAGCATTCGCTCCCACACCAGCAAGCGCTTGTTCTTCAAGATCAACCGGACATCAGGATGCAGGCTTCTTTTGAGCTGTGCTTCGAGATGCTCGATCTCCTTGGCAACTGTGGTCCAACGCCTCAACCTTTCTGCCCTCAGCGCCATTCTATCAGCACTCGGTTGACTTCGAAAGCTATTAAACAAATTGCCGAGCTCAAGGGGCAACGCTGAGTCGAGTCTGCAGGGATGTCCTCTGGCGACAGCCTCTGCGACGAACTGCTCACAAGACCAAGGGATTCCCCATCGTTGACATACAGCGTCGCTGGTCATGGCTCCTACTTGCAAAACGAGCTCCGAACACTCTCTACCCCCCAGTTTCGAGGGAGGTGGCTCGAGCGCAAGGAGTTTGGCGTGTTTAGGCAAGACGAATGGCGGTGTGCTGGACAAGGTAGTGTCGATGGAAATGCGCTTGAGCAAATCAATGGCAGGGAGACTGGCATGAGATCCAACCAGAAGGACATGATGGGAGTAACACGGGACAAGTGGGGGAACGAACGAGGCTTTGGCTTGCAATCCTGTCTGAGCCCGAATGACTTGCAACGACGGTGTGACAGCTTCAGTTGCGAGTTCCAAGGTCGCCGCTGGCATGGGCAAGCCTCGGCTTGCGAGGGCGGTAATGAAGCAAGCAGCGAAAGCCTTGGCCAGCGCCATTGGGTAGGCTGTCTCCTCTGCAGTTGCAAATTTTGAGGTCCGGTTGTTGATGCCCCATTTGGCGTGTTTGTGTTTGGCCGATTGGCCTTTGCACTTCTTTGAGATGACACGAAATTCACGATCGGAGAAGGCGATCATGGTTCGTTTCTGTCGTAATGAACCGTACTGGCATGAGTGAAACGTGGTATAGGACATCAGGTTGCTGACTTCAGTCCAAAAAGTTGTGTTCCAGAAAAAACTGTACTGGGGGTTCTCAACAACGACTGGTATGCGCTGGGCAGCGGCCCACCTAACAACATCAGCAGTGAGTCTGTACAAAATGTTTGCCTTAGCGATTCGTTCTTTGTCTGTCCAAGCGAGATGTGGCAATCCATTAGGATGGTCATCGCTCCGGAGGGGCCTTGGGCCCTGGTGATGTTTACAGTGACTTTTATGGTGAAGTCTGATGGCTCGCGCTCGCGAAGCTGATCCACATGGAGGTGCAAGGAAAACACCAACTACATTGGGGTTCTCAAGCCACTGCCACAAGAGCTCCTGACCAGCTCGTGTGGTCAAGTCTGCAAGGGATACAGGGGCTGTGACTTGCTTATGTTTAACATAATCTACTCCAAAAGAGCTCCGCACTCCTAGCTGCCTTAGGCATGCTGTCACACGAGCTGTTCCTGCGTAAATTTCTACAACCACACAACTTGT